TTTGAGAGTTGAGAAAACAAGACTTATCATTAGAGATACTTTTCAGCCTCCAGCCACAATGCCCAGACCATTGTTGTTGGGTTTTTCAGGAGTTTGGTGTGAAGCTTTGTGCAACCAGCTTCAAGCATTTGTTCTACAGCCTTTTCCACTGAATCTGGGGAATGTAATGGAGGCGCTGCTGGTAGAATTTCTCAAGTGCTCTGATGTGTCGCGGATACACATTCCAGGTCTCACATTAGTTCGGGAGAATGGTGGCAACAGATGTGGTGTACACTGGGACTTTTGTTGGCTTCTAGATGCCTTGTCAAACTTCCACTGTCATAGTTTGTAGGAAGCTGAGCTGATGTTGGATCACCTGGTGAATGGTGTCATAACAAATAGGAGCAGGAGTAGGCCAACTGGCCCATTAAGCCTGCTCCGCCATTCAATAAGATCATGGCTGATCTTTTGGTGGACTCAGCTCCATTTACCCACCCACTCACCATAACTCTTAATTCCTTCACAGTTCAAAAATCTCTCTGTCTTTGCCTTAAAAACATTCAACGAGCTAGCCATAACTGCTTCACTGGGCAGGGAATTCCAAAGATTCACAACCCTTTGGATGAAGAAGTTCCTCCTCAACTCTGTCCTAAAGCTGCTCCCCCTTATTTTGAGCCTATGCCCCCTAGTTCTAGTTTCACCCACCAGTGGAAATAACCTCCCTGCTTCTATCTTGTCTATTCCTTTCATAATTTGACATGTTTCTATAAGATTCCACCCCCTCCCCCCGCCATTCTTCTAAATTCCAATGAGTATAGTCCCAATCTACTCAACTTCACCTGATAAGCCAACCCTCTCAATTCTAGAATCAACCTAGTGAACCTCCTCTGTACCAGTACATCCTTTCTCAAGTAAGGAGACCAAAACTGTACGCAGTACTCCAGGTGTGGCCTCACCAGCACCTTGTACAGCTGCAGCACAACCTCCCTACTTTTAAACTCCATCCCTCTGGCAATGAAGGACAATATTCCATTTCCCATCTTAATTAGCTGCTGTACCTGCAAACCAACTTTTTTGTGATTCCTTTTAGGACAGGTGCTGCTAAGCTCAGAGAAGTGCTGAAGATATTCCAAGGTCTCTCCATCAACTTATATAAGATATATTAAATATTACTATTAAACTGTGGAACATTAAACTGACCAGGTTTAGGTTGACAGAAGCTTTGATTTGGCAGCTTTCAACGATAGGCTCCATCCTTAGTATGCAAACTTAAAGAGATTGAGTGGTTTGTCAGTCTGGTTCAGAGTTAGCAATGACAATGTAGTCATCTGCAAATTGTAGATCATGTATGTCTATAGGTGTCAGTTTAGTTTCACACAGGAAGTGACTGAGGTTTAAAATACTCCATCTTAACAGCAGTTGGTGTTTTACACAGTGAATAACCACTGTCCAGGAGATTATATATAGTGTGGGGGCTATCACAACCCTGTTTGCACCATTTGGATTTTGAAAGTGAACAGTCCAGATCACTCACTCAGCACAGTTACAGTCATAGCATCGTGAAGCAGTTGCAACTTTGTGATATATACATCCAAATCTCTGGAACACAATCCACACAGCCTGGTGATTTACTGAGACAAATGTTTTAATGAGGCAGTGGCTACAATGAAGAGATCCTTGCATTGTTCTCAACATTTTTCTTGGATTTGTTTGGCAGCAAAGACCATGTCAAAGCTTCCTCCGGAAGATTGAAGGACACACCATGTCTCTGGTCGGATTTCCTCAGCCACAGCAAACAGACAATCCAAGAGAATGCAGAACAAAAACAGAAGTTGTTGGAAAAGCTCAGCAGGTCTGGCAGCATCTGTGGAGGAGAAAACAGAATTAACGTTTCGGGTCCGGTGACCCTTCCTCAGAACTGATGGTGGATGGGAAAACGTCAGTTTATATGCAGAAAATAAGGAGGTGGATGGGGTAGGGAGTAAACGATAGGATAGAGCCCAAAGAGAGAGAAAGACAGTTGGACAGACAAAGGAGTTGCTAACGATCAGGCTGGGAGGGTGAATAGTTGTTAATGGGGACTGTTAGTGACTAACAACAGGGGGTATGTATTGCCAGGCTATGTGGTAACAAAGCATGGTGTGTGGGGTAGGGGCCTGGGTCATGGGAGAGTTTAGACCCTAAAATTATTGAACTCAGTATTGAGTCCGGAGGGCTGTAGGGTCCCCAAGTGGAAAATGAGGTGTTGTTCCTCCAGCTTGCGCTGGGCTTCGCTGGAACACTGTAGCAGGCCAGAGACAGAAATCTTGGCCAGAGAGCAGGGTGGTGCATTGAAGTGGCAGGCAATGGGTAGTTCAGGGTCTTTTTTGCAAGTAGAACGTAGATGTTCTGCAAAGTGGTCGCCAAGTCTACGCTTTGTCTTCCCAATGTAGAGGAGACCATATTGTGAGCAGCGAATGCAATAGACCAGATTCTGGGAAGTGCAGGTGAAGTGTTGCTTCACTTGGAAGGTATGTTTGGGCCCTTGGATACTGGGGAGGGAGGAGGTAAATGGGCAGGTGTTGCACCTTCGCCAGTTACAGGGGAAGGTGCCGTAGGGCTGTGGGGGTGTGTTGGGGGTGAAGGAAGTATGGACCAGGGTGTCCCGGAGGGAACGGTCCCTGCAGAAGGCGGACAAGGGAGGGGAGGGGAATATGTGTCTGGTGGTGGTATCTCGCTGGAGGTGGTGGAAAAGAGGATGCGGGTCAGGACAAAAAGTTGTTTTCCGCAAGTCTCTGAAGTAGACTTCAATCCACAAATTCTTTGAATCAGAGGCACTCACTGTGCCACAACTGACACTGGTGGGACAGAGATGTTAAAAGTAATGGGTCTTGGTAAAGATATGATTCAAGTGGCAGGTTTTTAGATGTTTATGGTCAGCAAGGGAGAGGAGTCTAGCAAGACAACACCGGTTTCAATGATGACTGGTTTCAGGTAAGGACTGAGTTGTCATGCCCAAAAGTCATGAAGAGAGATCCTTAATTGTTTTAGAATAAACTGTAATCCCTTGTTTACTTGTAAAATGGAGTTTTGCTAGATTAAAATGGCTGCTGTTGACAACAGAATGTGCAAGATGACCAAGATTTAGAAATTTATAGAAACCTCCAGTGGACAAAGCCAGCCCATTAAATTTGTGGAATTTCTCACCTATAATTACAGAAACAGTGCAGACATAGCAGGACAATGAGAAGACAGTAGGAACTGCAGATGCT